CCCTGGCTGGTGAAGTTCCTCGCGCATTTGTTGTGCGCCATCCTGATTATCAAAGTCTCACTGAAGCTGATGTCCAGGAATATGTAGAGCCCAAAGTTGCAAGTTACAAGAAACTGGCAGGTGGCGTGAAGTTCATTGATGTTATACCTCGCAATCCAGCCGGAAAGGTGTTGAGACAACAGCTAAAAGTGCTTGGTGATAAGTCCCCCATTCAGTGATACAATATTGCTTCATGAGATGGCAATAATTTTTTCCAGACTGCTTGTGCTTCATTCAATAGTGTGTGTACAAATGAAGTCATATTTTAAATTCTGTACCATATACCAAAAGCTATGTGAAATTGTAAGCCCTTCTGTATTTCAAACATTTTGGGGTGAATACAACAAGGAAAAATATGAATATTGAACAAAAACACTCAAAGTATATAGCGCACCTACATGCCTTGAATTTCAGACACAGCCTGTGAAACTAAATGCATGTAAAATGCTCAGGGTGATGATTTTGAGATCCGAGATCTCACGCCAGTGAAGATATAGATTGTGGTCTTGTAGGCTATGAATCATGTGGTCTTGCAGACAAACGTAGGTATAGAATCATCTTGTCTGTGTATGGGCATGTGCATGTCTCAATGTCTGAACTAAGTGATGTAATTTCATGTACCAGTCTCAAGATGGGAAAACAGAATATCAGAATTCTTCTCAGCACATGATTAATATTTTCAACACCACATGCCTGGGGTTAAGTGTTTTTATACAAGTCATAGGCCGATATTCTGTTACCTCCTGGAACTGCATACTACATATGTGTCCCAACTTACCCCTCTCCTTTTTCAGTCATTCTCGTTAGAACTCGGAGAACAATCATGTTTCAATTCCGTATCTGAGCAGATACAACAATTTTGAAATGTTAAATATGACAAAAATGAAAATGTGAATAAATAAATGAATAAAAATCATGTTTTAAATGCTTTTATTTGCAGATATTAAAAACATCGACATTTATAACATCAGATTTTATCTTACAGTGCCTAGCCTTGTCCACTACATGGCAAAAAAATTAGGCATTTGTTTACGTTAGTAGTGCGTGTGTGGTGTGGCGCGCGCGTCGAGTGTGTATTTCTTTGGCACAGTGATTAGAAAAGTCATAAACACTTTCTGTGAATGTTGGTGGTTTCATAGTGCTGCACTATATGAAACACAGTCCATCCTGCAAAACTTGCACAGCGACAAACTGGCACAGTGTCTTACACATCCCAGTATGTCATCCTCACCACTTAGCTCGCTTAGACCAGTCTTTGGGCGTCCAATGAAGACATTTGGGGTCGATGCGTATCTTCCGGCGCTCCATGGAACGCTGATGGGATGCAACTGTTTCCTCACTCAGAGTAATGATGTATTGACCTTTGTAATAGTTGATGAGGTTTAAGTTCTGAAGTGTAGAGATCACATCCTCCTTCTTGATACTTGTAAGCTCACAGATTTCACTGGAACACAAAAAAAGGGTGAAAAGATACAGAAAAGTGGTCACCATCCCCATTAGAAGATAAAACACCCCAACCGCAACATAAATTTCATCCAATATTACTGACTTACAAGGACACATGAACATCTTGATTTGAATACACATCCACTGTGGTTTTATAAATTATCCCGCATAATAAGTTGGTTGGTGTATGTGTACTCTGCTTTACTGTACAGCCAAAATCATATAAAATTTCACTCACTTGATCGTTATTTGCGGCTTTTCGTTGTCTCCCACTGGCTTGACATTTACCAAGAAGTCAAGAATTGTCTGGGCCCAGTAGCTGCGGTAGGAGAGGAGACCCAGATCAGACAGCGGTTTCTCCGGAGATCCCGTCTTGCCTTCGAACTTTGACAATTCGTAACCTGTACAAACAATTCAAACACACAGATATGAAATGACACAGAATCCACTGACACATAATTTCAACTTAACGGCCGACCAGCTTTCCTTTGAATCTTTACAGTTACTATGTCTGACATTTCAGGAGCCAGGAATCACTGCATATCATGACACAGAGTTCCTCGGCTGAACACTTACTGAATTCTATAAGCAGTTTTCCACAGCCCTTCCTTTGATACGGTGGCAATGTGAGAATACAAGCAACATTGTAGTCCTCTGTAGACTCCTTTTCTTTACTGAAGTAACCAACTATATGGAATCCTCGTGAGTCGAAGTCAGTCATAACATAAAAAAGGAAAGGATCTGTATCATAATATAAAGTCTTATGGTCCAGGAACAGTTTCGCTAACAAGCAAAGGTTCTGAGCATAAGCCTTGTTCTTCCGACCATCAATCTCAAAGAAGGAAATCCGCCCTTTTCTATAGATCTCATTCCCCGGTGGATGGCGTAAGTTGCATTTTGCCTGCATGAGACAGAACAATAAGCAAAAGAAATATTTATTTCCATTATTAAATTCACACAAAATGGAAAACAGTTCATTGTGACACGCATATTTTTCTCTACATGTTACAACCTAAATCACAACAATTCATTCACGCATCAGTGGTCTAACAAATATTCAGCTGGGCCTTCAACATGTTATTCCAACATAAGTACTGATGTCTGTAGCAACTACATAAATTATTATGCTTATATTTTAGGACTGTCTTCAAATTTTACTGAGGTATATTTTGTTGGCCCAAAATTCTTACACTTCTTTTTTTAAATCAACAGTTACGCCACAACAATGATGCATACTTTTCCTTGTGTTACCTTTATTGATTAAACATTTCTGCACATAGCAAAAACACCTCAGATACCAACAACGTCCAACATGATACTGACGTGATGATTCAACAGCTTCATACAAGACTTTACAGATTGAATGTTTTATGCATCGTACTTCCTGAATCTGAAACCAGCTGTACTTACCAGATGTCTTTCCAAGCACTTTCTGCTTTTCCGGTATTTAAGGCAAAATTCACAAATATATATGCATGTTAAGTGAACCATTTCCTGTAACAAGAAATTGAAAATTCACTATTTAAGAGTTTTATCTGTGAACAAAAGCAAAGAATGACAAGGATTGATGCCATGTACTCTCTAGCTATCACTGAAACAACCATTTGTAGGTCTAGTTTGTGTGAAGTCTATGTTGCGCCTCAGGATAGGGACAGGTGGTGGGCATCTGTGACCACATAATGAACCCTCATGTTCCGCATACGGCAAGAAATTTGTCAAACCGAGTGACTATTAGCCTCTCAAGAAGGACTCCATTGCATGGAGTCAGCTGAGACCAATCAGGATATAACATGACGAAGAATACATTTCAAAACTCTAATTTAAAGCCCATCATGCCTTCATCTCCGAGATGTAAAGGCAAGCACAGCAGAAGTTTCTACTGCACTGCTCCATGCAGTGCTGCCAATACCTGTGGATATGGTGAGAAGTACCAAGGCCGAATTCTGTGTCTTCCGAGTTCTATCATCTCAACGTTCTTCATACGCGTGACAATGTCATCGTTGTGTGCTACCATGGAGCCAGTACTTCGAGGACAAGATGGAGTACCAGTAGCAATGGACGCAGGACCTGATGCATCCAGAGAGTCCTGCAGAAACAATAACTCATGTTATATATTGAAATAAGTGAATGCAGGTAGGCCTACACACTACAATTTTTGAGAAAATACAGCCACTTGAACTTTATATAACTGACTGAGTCATCCTATGAATCATAGTTTATAATTGAAATCCAAATCTCTCAGCTCATCAGAAATTCCACATCCTTCATAAAATGAAAAAGTTTTACCGAACTTCAAACAAGTCATCTAGTCACTTTACTGAGTCTTTTACTTCCAAGAAGAAAAATAAATTAAAGTTGATTTTAGCCATTTCCTCTCTTATGGAAAAAAATGTAAATTTATGATATACCATGCTATATATGCATCTTCCAACCTCTGAACCAACTGATAATGCACTTTTATAGTTCAGGGGTAAAGTCAAATGTCACATCAATTGGTGAAGAATATTATTTTACGCACAATAAAGTCAAATTTTGCAGTATAAGGTGTTGCATGGATGGATTAAGGTATTACTATTCAACCTGACAGTTAATTACCTCACTCTCCAGAGAAATTCCTTTCCTCTTGCGGGACATTTTCTTCTGAAGGGCAGCCGCAAGAACAGCACTTCCATTGAGTTGCATCTCAGGACCACTGGGCGGAGATGCTGGACGTGACAACGAGTTTCCACCTCCCACTTTCTTAGGTGTACTTGTACCACCAGCTTGAGTCGGTCCATCTCGACGTGGAAACTGAACCTTTCTTGTGTCCAGTCGCTCTTCAGTCACCCATTCGTCTAGCCGCTTATTGACTGAAAGTGACAAATGACAGGATGATTAATAAAGGAGAAAAGATATGGAAGGAAAGAGTTTTGGCCTAATTTAAGGGACTATCCTGCAATTGCCTGGAGGAAAAATACATAAAACCTCAGCCAGGACAGCCAGTGTCCAGACTAATATTTGAACCCAAAATAATCCAAATGAAAAGCAGGAGTGATAACCACTTGCAAGCAACATTTGGAGATAAATTATACCATCAAACCACTCGAGTATAGAATGTCTATGACCCAGTGAGCGTGTTAAGATACTATACAGAAAATAACAACTAAACCACCCTTTAATTTATACTTACAATCCACATAGTGCACATAATAGCGTTTGGATGACTTTACTTCCTTAACACTGATGATCTCTGCAAGGGCTAGAACATGAACACAAAAGAAGGTAAAATGAGAAGGCAAATAGAATGTTGTGTACAAAATACTACATGAATCCAATAACAGTTATGATCATTCATATCTATGGAAGGATGAACACAGACAAAATAATGATGGCAACAAATGGACAACCTGATCCATAATAAGCTAACAGTTGCAATATATATTCTGCAAAACTGTGAACCCCACTGATCTACCATAATGAATCAACATGCACATATACAGATACATTACTGACATACTGACAGTATGTTGTTCATTCATAAAGTATCATATTCAACCACACCAAGTAAAAAATGTGTAAGTTGTGAATGTAATATCTTAGACAATTACTTCCCACTTCATTCTCATACAAAACTACATCACTTTAATAAATCCATATCATTTTAAAACTCCTGCATTCAATTCTTATTTTCATATTTTATTTTTATTAAGCAAAAGACATTTTTGAGTAATTTGTGAATGCCAAAACCAAGAGTTTCCTGATATGACAAACCAAGCATTGGCAGTGCGTTCAAATCAGGAAATGATACCGTAATTGACAATTTACCCAGTATGAAATGACAATCCTTCATAAAAATGCTGTATGAAGTACTACTGATCAGCTAAAACAGAATAAGATATCAAAGTAACAACAACAAAGAGCAGGGAAAACAAATATGGGTCACAAATTTAAAAGAGCTGCATAAACTTAAATACTTGTAACCTTCGCTTTCTAAATTTGCTATTACAAAATCTAATGTTTTCAACACTCAGTCCATTTTACATGCCATGGAATTCAAAATCTGTCAACACAGAGTGATTATTTTATAATATTTATATCAGACTTACGCCAGTCGTCCCCTCCTTGCATTCGGACAGGCAGTCGACATCCTTCAACAAGCGATGCCTAAAAGAAAAATACGTACTGTCAGGTTGCCACAAAATTCTGCATTAATCCTGGAACCCTCTTAAATGTTTTCAATAATTTAAGATAAATCAAATCCCTTACCGTTAGTATAAACAAAAAAAGGAAAACTGTACATAACCTAACTTTTTTAAAAAAGTAGTGGACACAAACATAAATGATAACATAATTAACCTTTCCACTATACCGTAACCTTAGCTTTCGTCCTGAGGATTTTACCAAATTATATCCTTACCACTGAATCGCAAATAGTTTCTCTTTCATCACCATCATCAGTCATCGTTACAGTCGGTATTGTGTTTCGTATTGCTTTCTTCAACTTTGTTTTGCTCAGATTTTGATTCTCAACGATACATGCAACCGACTTCAAATATCGAACACAGATATCGAATTTATTGCAATCGTTAATATTGCTAACCTTTCGTTATGCTTTCTTTAATAAGAAATAAATAAAATACAACTTATTTAAATTGCTGACATCCTCCATAGTACAATTCAAGGATCTGAAATGTGTCATATGATATGAACACCATCGCTAATGGCATAATACCAATAGCTGTTAAAATTTTAATATTGTATGGAAATAAATTATTCTACGGAGTCGAATGAGTAAGATAACATAATCATTCAATGATGCTTTAAATACTTTTATATTATGTTTTAAATTTTAAATATATTGTAATACAAAAATGAGCTGAAAACTTAGTCCCTGGATGGTAGAAACTCTGACAACTATAGACTGAGATTAGTATTCAGCTTGCAAGATTTTATGATGTTTACGTCTCTTATTTACATTATGCACAAATTTTTGAAAGTCTCTGAGAAAAGCAGGAAGAAATACTCAGACTGCTCGAAATGTGTTATGGGTCAAAGATGAAATTCTATGTACCTGCTATTTGACATAAATAAATTGTACATTCAAATTAATATTAAAATCACAGCATAATGTTTGTAAAAACATCCATCATATTTAATTAAGATCGGGAATTCAGGTGTCAGTTTGATTATTTTGGTAGACCTGCACGTTATACTCCATGAAGGTACCTTGTGTGCATGACCTCACCGTACTTCTGAACTACCACATAATGAAAGATTCGTATTATTTTTACTTATCCGTGATTGTCTGCCATCTATGAAGCAATTATTTAAATACTATCGTAATTAAATACAATGTTCACTGATGTTTCCTGCCATCTGAAGGTTGTTTCAAGAAACATGTTTTCTGACAACGACTGTAGGTCCAATTAGAAATTGAAATGGTTTTTCAATAGCACATAAACTCTAGCCAACATATTTGATTAAATTTGTGGTTAATCGGCGTACCGTAAATTAATACAACATAAAAGATACAGTTACGTCATATTATCAGCGTATGAGCATACTTTCTTAATCCCACCGTGATGACGTCAACCCGTCTGCATTTCGATAACAAAGGGTTGCGGTCGATTGTAACTTTCCGATTCATCTTCAGTTGTGCGGTATTGGATGAATATTGATCTGACTTCCTAACCAAAGTTTTTGGTATAGACAGCATATCGATTCCTTTTTAAAAATCGGTTTATTTTCCACATTCTTGAATCCTCCTTCATCTATTCATAATGTGCACACAGATTGTTTTTAGAGCAGAGATGGCTTATTTCATGTTTGATTATGGAGTGACTAACTAGTGTTCTATAACCAGCCCATTTTATTTTGCCATGGATGTGGAAGCTGTCAAGTTTAATTTATTTTTGGCTCTGCATTAATTTACATATTTTATCATTTCTTTAACTTGAGAGGAGCATGGTTGATATCTCAATGTATTGTGTCTGAAATTAAATTATCATTATTACATACTCTGTGCAATTATTTGGAAAATTCCACTTTGTTAGGGCAACCACTGTCTCAAAAACAATGAATACATAATCAGTTCCCTGTCAATCTGCCTTTCACTGTGGTAGAAGAAAAGAAAAACCTTTCATAACAATATTCTTGGTTTATTTTAATTATTCAGGTTCATAACTAAAGAAAAAACAGAATATAAAAATTTTAGTGGCTTCACAATAGTTTTTAAAATTCTGCTATATTCAATTTATTTAAATTTATGGTTAATCAGTCTGAAGTCAATTACTGTAGGATGTAAATACACTTGTGTCACATTATTTACATATGAATATACCTTACTTATTTCCACCATTATGTCATGTATATTGGCACTTCATTAAATTGAATGTAATGATTGAGTTATTTTAATTACATGGTTTCATAATGAAGTAAAAATATGAGAATATTTAAGTTTCAAAATGAAGAATACATTACCAATGATCTGTATGTAACTTATTACCAAAGTTGTCTAACCAACAGAATTCATAAATGTAGTTTTAGATTATAATTCTTACACATTAGAATAATAACGATGAATAAAAGAGTGGTTGCTGGATATTCTGTGTAAATGTATTTTTGAAGCAACACACCATTAAGCAAATTGCCATGACACCAATCATAAATTAGAGTGACTGAAATCAAAATGTTTTATTTACATGATACGCATTATACATAATATACATTAGTTTGTTTTGTACTTTAAACGTAAAATAAATGAATATATTTTCACTGCTAAGTGTTAGTCCTGCACTTTAAGGATGGTCAAACTCATATCACTTTGTGTCTTCAGTTTCTTTATCTAGCAAGGCTGACCTGATGCCTGCTTTACGAAGCTCTTCTACCAGATCACCATTCTGGTGCATCTGCAACATGATGTCGCAGCCTCCTACAAATTCACCCCCAATAAAAACTTGGGGGATTGTTGGCCAATTTGAAAATGCCTTCACTCCTAAAAGAAAGTGAAACAACTGTTAAAAAGCAGGAAAGGTGGCGTACACATACAAACAAAAGGACACACACATGGAATTAAAAACAGCATAAAGTCTAAATGAAATCTTGCTAGTTTTGATTGTGTGGGTAACGGTGGTTTGGATTGGTGATACTCTAGAAAACAGATGTGATCATCAGAAAACAATAACTATAATAAAAGTACATTATAAAGTACCAAACTTATGTACCTGTTTATAAAATTTCATGCATAAAAATATTCTACTTATATATGAAATATTTCTAAAACTTATGTGAGAACTAGAAAATAATGTAATGACCCACGCTAAAAAAGCTAATCCCTGGTACTTGTTGGCCAAAACCCTTGACCTGACACATTTCCTATCCTGATACAAGCCAGCCAGCTATTTCCTGGCATTCATAAATTCATCCCTTATGATGGAGGCAGTATGGTCATCTTAAATGTCAGGAAAAAGCCAAAACCTACGAGAAAGCAGCACCCAAAAGCTGGATCCACACTAGAAACACTTTTAGTTAGGTAATGAAAAAATTATTTCAAGATGACAGCATATGAAATTTTCAACAAAAAGCTATGTAGGTGTAACCATGTGGTAATGACCATGTAATTCTTAGGATTAATGGCATCTCAAATGGTGAGATTTTATTAAGCAGACCTTGAAGAAGGTACTTACAAAGGGGGTATTCCAGTATGCAATATTTTGCAGAATATGGAAAATGTCAGCAGGTTTCTCAGTTTTCAGACTTCAGTCACCTGCTATGTACTACACTACATGCTTCCTCAGGAATTTAATCAAATACATAAACACATTTCCTCTCTTCTGCATTATTGAGTTCTTAACAATACTGTTATATCATAAAATATTATGAAAAGAAGGTCATGCATACTAACAGGTAAGAATATAAAAGGAATTTATCATGACCATCAAAATATGGCACAACATTTCTAACTTAATCTAAACTACACCATCAAAAGCTGGTAATAGTCATGCACACCTTTTCGTAATTCTTCGTCTTTGAGGACATCATGAGCATCATAAGTTACACCATGCATTCTAAAAATCTGAACTACAGCATTGCTAAATCCACATTTCGGTTCTTCTGGGACACCTTTCATAAAGACGACAACTTTATTCTTCTTCACCAACTTCTCTACATTATCTGCTATTCCGGACGTAAACGCACGGCACAATGACGTGATAACACTGCAGCTGTGAATATTTAAAATATCAGTTCGAGTTATAATATTCATTATATAAACTTTCCAATGTCACCATGTGCCATGTGCGAGTCAACTGTTATCTGCATCGATTGTACATCATCGACTAATTTAAGTATCGAGTGAATATCAGATAATAATCGATTGAAAGGAATCGAATAAGGAAACGGAAGTGCGAGAATCTGAGACTACGATTCTCGTACTTAGATTATCGAGAATCGTAGTCTCAGATTCTCGCACTTCCGTTTCCTTATTCGATTCCTTTCAATCGATTATTATCTGATATTCACTCGACATTTAAATTAAATTACTATTCACATATCGTGAGCGTAATTCCGGAACTGTTCGGAGAGATTATTATCGTGATCACAATAATATGAATGAACCCTATCCTGAGTGAGACGAGTCCGGTCAATTTCCTTGTCTCTCACAGCTTCATGTTACATGATCACCCATCTCATCTAAATGCTTTGATCACCTTAAAATTATTTGATGAAGCCCGTGTTTGTGTCCATCTTAATTTAATTCAGATCCAAATGTTATCCTCAGCACCCTGTTAACGAACATGTTTAATAAATTCGGGTAATGCTCGTTCCCATTATTTCAGAACATATTCGTCTGTTGTCCAAGGCTATAATTTTTCCTGTAGTTTTTTATGGGTGTGGAACTTATTCTCTGACACTAAGGGAGGAGCGTAGACTGAGGGTGTTTGAGAACAGGGTGATAAGGAGAATATTTGGGCCCAAGAGGGGTGAATTACTAGGAGGCTGAATAAAGTTGCATAATGATGAGATCTTCGGGTTCCATGGAACGAATGATATATTTTGATCACACTAGGCTGATATCAGGTTCTCAAGTCTTATTCTACCCCACGTCGCTTTCGTCTGCAGAATAGGACTTTTTCAGTTCCTGAACTACCGACGGTTTTGTATCAAATTCCATACTGAGTTCTGAAACTTGAAGCAAGATGCATTCTGCCTTTACAATTCCCTGTTTAAAGTATGGAAGCAAATTTATTTTGGACACCATTAAAAGCACACCTGCGCAAAATTAAGTCAGACGATGTACTTCATAGAGGTAAAGCTTCTCCTGGCACTTAAGAAGAACCACGCCATGAAGATATATTGGGGGCGTGGAAGTATAACTCCACTCTTTCTTGACCTCGGGACTAGATATAGATCCATTCAGTAACTTAAATGCTCAAAAACACGTTTTTATTCGCCCTGACATGGATTGTTTCATATTTCCTGGCTCTGAAACCCCTTATCTCTTAACAATTCCAACTTTATAGCGGCCTAAACAAAGAAAATATTTATACACAAAACTTCAATTTTTGAGAGTTCTAACTTTATCATTTAAGTTCATTGCTAACCTCTCATACAGGGCTTTGTTTCATGGAGTTGGTTCTACAGTCAAACGTAAGGGACAGGACTGTGAGAAAAAATGGCCAAGGCTGTTCCAAACGCTTAAAAAAGTTTCGCGCTGTTGCAAAAATACATTGGGATAGAAGAACCTAGTACATTTATGTTTGTAGGCCCTCTGATTCAAACTTTGGACGACTTATAATTATTACAAAGCCATTTAAGTAATTCCGGCGGCGTGGAAGTATAACTCCACTCTTTTTTGACCTCGGGACTAGATATAGACCCATTCCTACATATGTGTGTTCATATGTACTGCACTGACATGAATGTGTTATTTGTATGTATTCTTATTTGTTGGGCGTGTTCTTGAGACAGCTGTAAGGTGCAAACTTTAACCTTTCCACTCATATACCTCTGATCCTGCATTTAATTCAGTAACTACCAAATCAGCTTTGGTAACACCTGAGCTTCTAATAACTTTTAAGAAATCCACCAAAATAAAATAGAGGTAGGGTTCAATCGGTCTAGGTAGGCGAGCTGTTGTGACCTGGGTGTTAAACATTGCGTTTTAGTATAAGCAGGGACTATTTTGATAGCCTGAATAACTATTAGCTGCTCTTGAAAAATCCTGTGTAATGTAATTGGAACATTCAGTAACTTAAATGCTCAAAAACACGTTTTCATTCGCCCTGACATGGTTTGTTTAATATTTCCTGGCTCTGAAACCCCTTATCTCTTAACAATTCTAACTTTATACGGGCCTAAACAAAGAAAATATTTATACAGAAAAATTAATTTTTTGAGATTTCTAACTTTATCATTGAAGTTCATTGTTAGCCTCTCATGCAGGGCTTTGTTTCATGGAGTTAGTTCTGCAATTAAACGTAAGGGGCAGGAGCGTGAGAAAAAATGGTCAAGGCTGTTCCAAACGCTTAAAAAAGTTTCGCGCTGTTGTAAAAATACAATGGGATAGAAGAACCTAGTATATTTATGTTTGTAGGCCCTCTGATTCAAACTTTGGACGATTTATAACTATTATAAAGCGATATTAAGTAATACGGAAAAGATAAGGACAGTTATAACCTGCAATTTACTTGCTAAAATGCATTCATATGAATTTCGCCATTTTACATTCGAGGGGTGCGGGGATCGATTCTGCCATGTTGCTATGACGTCACTTGCGTGAGGTAATTGCAGTGTCTGTTTGTACGTCTGACCATAGTTGACAACACACCCCTTATTAAAATAAACAATAAAATAGAGCCATAATAAATTTTTGTTTTTATTTCAAACTGAAATGTTACTAAAGTAAAAAATAATTTGTTTGTCCTTGGACATTTCTATCCGCAGTTCTGTCACTTGAGGTGCTATCTGTTCGTCATCGGTGAACGTGAGATTCATTCTTGTTGACTGCTTCATATTCCTGGGTCTCCGGTTTGAATCTCGACTCAGAGACACTCTACCCTAACAGGTGCATTTATTTATTTTCACCCAGTTTCTACAAACGGGTAATTGAATATGTTTTAAAATCGGCCACATGCACTTCCGTACATCTTTTATACGTCACAACTGCATACTGCCCATCGACGTTTAGGCTAAATTGTGCGGTTAAAAAGCAGAAATAAGTGACGTAAACAGTCTGGCAAGTGTTTATTAGTTTCAGTAAGGACCAGTTCGTATTCCCTAGGAAATTATGCTCCCGGGAAGCTAACAGCTGGAGGTCAGATCGGAGTACAAAATTTTGTATTAAATGAATGGCTTATTTGACTCTTTGCAGACGGAGATATGTATAAATAGTGTTTGGTGTTTGGGTCAGTACTTCCAAGAAACAATAATTAAGTTATGTTGCAATTTTATATTTATATAATTGTAAAATCCTGAAAATATGAAAATATTCCCGAAATTTGCGGCTCGTCTGTATGTCTTGTGTAGTCTGATTTCTAACTTTGAATTTGATTCCTCTGGGCGACAGGTGCTACTCCTGATAACGTCTGACATCTAGCGGACGAAGTGAAGGTAAGGCTTATATTATCAAGACGCAACGGCCAATCAGGAGCAAAGTTGTTGTATCGTGTGGCGAGTATGAACGTAGCTGGCTGCCTGTCTGTGTTCTAGAACTTTCTTCCAGTTTTGCAAGTTGCATTGACTACACAGCTTACAAGTATTTGTGACTTCATTTTATTTCACTTCTTTTAAATGCAGTTATAAATTCAAATTAGTTATCATTCCAACCTAAATTGCATGATTAATGTTAGCGATATCCATTAATATGAAGGATCAGTTTCAAAAGTTCATTGCCATTTTGGCGCCTTGTAATACAAGTTCGTAGCCATTTTGGTTTTTTCGATTTGTAATTTTATGGCTCTAACATGAATATTAAAATCTGTAGTTTTGTTTATAACTGAAACGAAGCATTCGTTACAACTTTATAATAATTTAAAAAAAATTGCAGTTATAATTTCGACTTTTGTAGGCTGTATTACCAGACTAGGAATTTCATAATTACTGTGTAAATATCGATCAACATGTAATTATGGCGCCTTTTTATAACCTGGGAAACAAGTGGGAAATTAAGGTACTGTAAAGTGAATAACTTATTCAGAAGTTCATACAGATTTCTTTGCCAAATTTTAAAGTAATACAGAATATTCTGTTGACAATAATACATATAAATCATATCAAGGAGCTGCATAATTAATATGAAGCATTCATTGCACAAGTTCTAGGCATTTTCGTTTTCCAAGTTTTATGTTATGTTATCAACATAAATACTAAAACTAATATGAATTATAATATCACATATCAATAATGAGTGGGCTTTCATAGAAACTTAGGTTTGGGGTTAGATTTATTGCTGACCATAAATCACACAGTTCTCATTTATTATTTAGTTTATAAATTGAATGCCTCCGTTATAAAATTGTAGTCACATGAATCATACTTTGTGTTGAAATAATTTCAACGCTGAGCAATAGCCTAGTTTTTAGACTAGTTTCCATAGAGACAGTTTAGAATGAATAGGTCCTATGTGGAGCTATTTAAACAGTTATTATAAAAATAGGTGTTACAGGACTTAATTTTGTTAAATAATAATATTAAGTCTGTTAGCATTATGATAAACATAAGTACAATAGCCAGTGTTGAACAGTTGTCACTGACATTTAGAAATTACTCTTTAACTGTCATAGATTTAAGTTAATTATTACTTACATTACTTTAATTTGTCAATGACAAGATGCAAAATGCTATTTTAAGCAATATTTTTATATATTTTAAGCTATCCTGACTAAGAGATTTTGTAGTTTTTCTCAGTCCTTCTGGGAAAGTAACCTCAAACAGCCATGGCATATCCTGTCCTCATACTTTAATATAATAGTACATAATGACTCCTCCCATTCCAAACGCCCCCCCCCCCACAGACCTTGTTCTGTTGTGACCATTCCATAACTCTATCCAAGCGTCATCTTTCTTTAGGTTGAGACTTTAAATGTTTTGTGTGCTGTTATCGGAGCTCCTGCTGTCAACAATTCTCTGCACTTTCTTCTGTATTCTTGAAAAATGTTATCTTTCTTCTCCTTTATAACATTGTCACATGCTGGCTACGTAAGACTATTAACAGTTCAATGTGCTTCTGGTGTTATTAATGCTTACTTCTGATTGGTTCCTTCCGGTAAATAGTATCGGACTGATATAACCTTGACACAAAGTTTGTGCAGTTGATACAGCGTTCG